AGTATTTGTCGAGATAATTAACCTTATTAGTTTATACTTCGATCGTACCCGTCTACCAGTATAAGTATTCCTTTTCATCCCACACAATAATTGTTTTTAATGCGTGGCCAGTATGACGAAAGCGAAGCGTCGATATTTCACGAAATTCCTCTCCTTGCTTCAATTGTTAAATTTCAGCAATCAGATGTAAAGGGCCCAAAAAGTAACTTTACTTGTAGGGGACTACCTGACTAGCTAACCAAACGCTTCTGAATACAAAGTTCAATCCGGTAAATTCTCATACTACAACCGTTCCTGAAAATAATCGTCGTTCTGATAGACTTTAGCGAGTCTGGCTGTACACTGAAACCGGTGTACAAACAGATACAGCATTCATCCTACTAAATCTTGATGGATAATGGAATCGTGATCTTTAGACATTAGCTCGGACGGCTGTCACTTTTTCGGTCAATATAGCTCGCTTCTCGTGAACGAACAAGCTGACCAATACAGGGTCATGGGATCTGACAAGAAAATCTGTCATTCACTTCTTGTGTGATTAGTGAACGGCTTAAAAAGTACACATGTAAACGAGCTTGGAAGATTTTTCCAAATCTTTCTGGCAATACTTTACCGTTTGTTTCACCTTTGAAAGGAGAGCGCATCGGGAATCGCTTTTCCCATAGCTTAGTTATCACGTGCCTATCAGAAACTTGTCCTCAAGCCCGCTTTCTGGAGACGTGATTCTGGACCGTTCTAATACATTTTCTAGGGCGTCGTCTGAACAAACTCTTCTGGACCTATCAGAGAGACGCCCTACCCATTTTTGCCTGAGTTTAAATGACGCAAAGCGTAAAAAGTGTAAACTAGGTGGTCTGCTTTCGTTTGGGGAAGATGCTTCTTTTGTTCTACATGGTAGCACATGCAGAAGAAAACAAATGCTCCTGTTTATCCTCATGTTAAGATAAAATGCAAGGAGTTATCTGAAACTTACAAGATTTCAGGAGTTTCAACCCGTTAGGGCTGCTTTATATGTGGTTGACAGCCTCTACGATTGCTCACGCTTGACAACATGACGCGGTTGACACATAAATAGACCGGACAGCCGCAACTATGTTGGTCGAGCATTAACACAATTTTTTGTACATGCATTACGTCAATCCAATGCTAAGTAGGATACGCAGATAATTACGGCCAGGCTGAGAGCAGCGCAAGAGATTCGGGACCAGCAAGGGTAACTTGCTCCGATTTCAATGAGTCACAGTGGCTTGAGAGAGCATGGTTTCAGTGTACCAGGTACTATGTGGTCAAAGTGTGACATCAAGATCAAGTACAAATAATGAATACCGTTAGAGAAAGCAGGTGAAACGACAACACTTCGATGCTGATTGTGTCTGGCGAGGGAATCGCAAAATTAAACGAAAATGGTGATATTAAAACTAGAGGGGCACTATGAGTTCATCGAGGTATTCTACATGTTTAAGCGTTGCGAAAAGAAACAGTGTTGTTGTAGAGTTTTACCGAGGTTTACTGGTAGCGTCTATGGCCACTCAATGGGAAAAGTTCGGGACAACCATCCACTGTGTTCTGAAGGTCCTTCAGGAAACAAGTGAACTGATGCTGAAGCTAACTCACCATTATCGCACCATCCAGTTACCACAGAATCAAGTCCTCCCAACGGTCATTGAAATTTGCGAAAAACTGCACGTTCTTTTTCACGATCACCAATAAATCACGTTCCGCGACTTTTGAAGTCGATTTGCAGATTACTGTTGAGGACGTCAGTATCAAACATGAAACTTGATACCCTGGATTTTCACCACCTCTTTCGCAAGTAGGAACAGTATCTAATCAAGGTGAGGAAAAATTTGGGGTTATTGCATCGATTAGGCTACTCAGAACTGATAAAGCATAATATGAGTGCATTCAGTTATCCTTCCACAGTCGACCTCAAAAGTGTGGCGCAGAATCACAGGAGCCGAAAATGAGTTGGACCAACATGACAGGCACACTGAGAAGAAGGATGAACATTTCATCCAACTACAACCAATCATCCTCTTTTGTCAGGTAATAAAGTGAAGCACACATGCATAGATAAACATAAAGGTAACAACACAGAATAAAACGCGCAGTCACGTGTTGCAAGAGTAGGGTAGGTTCAATATTATGGTAAACAGACAGTTTGAATCAGCAGCCTCTGCGCACACAGCATTGATTGCTTCGTCTTGATCAATAATGCTTCACTGAATGCCAGCAGTTGGGTGTTTTCATTGTTCAGCAAACTTGTGAATGGCCGATTACTAAAACAAGCAGTAGAAAGTCCGGGTAAAGAGGAGGAAAGAATCGAGTGTTTTGCGTAGCTCAGTGACCTGATTAAACCTAAACACATGAAGATAACAAACGTGAAGTCTTGCCGAGCTATAATGACTGTCATATCACATTCTGGACCCTACCAAACTATGGCACTGCATTGCCATCCGTTTTCAGTTCTAGCTAAACGATTCACTGATAGAATCATCGCTCTTTGGCGGATACGTTTACTCGAAATGAAGCACCGGTCTATCCGGTATCTAGCTCGCATTCACACGCCTGATAGGAGAGTGACACTGTCATCTGCGAGGATGGTCACTGAAGAACCGACGTTTGCTTATCCACAGGCTTGATTGAAGCTGGCGAAAATTTCGGTCTTCCCATATCTGCATGTATGGCAGCTCTGTGCTTAATAAGCAAAAGATGATTGGTCTCCAAAGTAATTCGTCTGTTCTTCAAAGACCGAAGTATCATCTTTTGTTTCTTGTGCGTGGAATCGATGTTTGGAAACCCCGACCACGACTGCGCACGAGCCTGTCTAGTGCCTTAATGTAGCAAAAACCGGATCACAAAGTTTGTTTTCTGTTTTACTTTTGGAGGGCACATCGTTCCTCGAATATACCTAGGCTCCCATATGCTGGGACTTAGTAGATGGTCTTCCAAGGGTTAACAGTTTTACATTAAATATCCACGGGGCCGAAGTGATGTGGTTATAAGAGAGGAGATGTCAGTCTTTTTGAATGTTACTTGTTGTGGAGGAGACAACGTTTGTTCTACACTTGCTTAACCGAAATAAACGAAAGTTTTAGTTTGAGACAAAGATATATGATGTGAGGTTTCTAATCAGATCTTGTCGAAAGACAGCATGTTCAACTGACTCTCTCTTGGATCCAGTCTTTTACTTTTCTCTCCAGTAGTATTTATTGGGCTGAAATATCAAGCAACAAACGCAGATGCAGTCTGTATCCATCTAGAGGATCTCTTAAGTCAATATAGATCAGAATGCACCTTTTGTGAATTATCTGGCTGTCATATCCCTCTCAGAATGCCACTACCGAAGGGGTGAGTAAAGGTTGTAAAGCAAAGTAAACTAACGGAGTTTTCACCTTGTTGCTTGCTGAACACACAATGGAAGCTGATATTCGAACTGCAAGCGAATGGCTGTGAGACACTCATGGTTTCCTGCCATTAGCCCTTCACTGTAGACCGTTAGAATAGGCGTCATTTCTGAATGGAACCAGAAAGGCATAACCTAAAATTTGATCTCCGTAAGTAAGCCACTCCCTAGGAGAAGCCAAACAACCTCTCACATTTTAGTGCTCTTTCTTGGGAGGTTACGTTTAAGGCCAACTTCTACCGTTCCGAAATGCATATCTGATGCCAACATACTTACCGCCTTGAATTTCACCCGGCTTTGCTACTCACAATGAGAAACACTATTCTGAATCACCCCTACACTTTTAGAAAGAAATTACAACTAAACGCTGCTACTCATCATCTTAATTTCACCGGATGCACAACACTCCCTGTCTTCCTGACATAAAATGCTACTGCTGGGAACTCTTCGACAGTCCCCTACCAGTTTACCCCTTCTTGGTTACGTTTAAGGCCAACTTTTACCGTTCCGAAACAATAAAGTAGCTCGTTTCAATCTGAATTAGGCAGTATACATCCGTTATACAATTACACTCTCGCTTTCCTAAAATACTTCCAGCAAAACCCTTCTTCTCATCTAAACCGTATCACCTCCACCATCAGTGGGCTTTTCATCCAAACAGACAAGGTTGAAGTAAAACAGCGATGGTTTTTAATCCATAATTTAGTAAACTGACAAAATCGATGATAGCATGGATGGCACTGAATCGCATTCAGATAGCAAACATAGAAGGAACTGTGTGCCTGCGACAAGATTAGAACGAACGAACGAAAACTATCAGATATCATTCTGACCATCTAGGGGATATTTTGACCGCGTTTGGCTGCCTCACTCGACCGAACTGACTATAAAGTTGCGTTCGGCCATAACAGTCTAGGATATTTCGTTGGCCTGAGTGCTCTTATGGATACCGAAATTCACCATGAGCTTCATGAATGACCAAACAGCACAAGTAAATCGATAACGTTAACAAAGCAACTGAATTAGTGACAAGAGTTGTCTGGAGACATATCCCTCAAAGTAGATGAGGCCAGATACGTGAGAGCGGAAATTAGCGATTCAATTATCAGCATACTTCCTGTATGGCTATGGTTTCAGGATACCAACGCTAGGTTACCTGAAAAAATTATCTGATTTGCGGGAAAAGGCAGAGGCACATAGCAGCAGAGTTCTGTATGACTACTCAGCTAGCTAAGTGGACTTTGCTTTTCAACTTGACCCTTGGAAGATCTGTAAAATTTAAAAGCAACTTTATTCAGTACCGTCTATACTGTTTAGATCAAGTGAAAGACATCGAATTTGGTGGTGTCCAGAAACGATGTTTGTGTAGACAGTTGAAGAATAACCTGTGAAGTCAGCCTTTTGACAGAGACTAGGTGAATTCAAAACCAATATTCACGATGTTAGATCGGGGGTGAGTTGAACCAAATGGATAGAGCGCGAATTTACTGACCGGAAGTTCCGTGGTTCGAACCCGACCTCTGCCTCTCGACTTCCTCTGTCTAGGCTTGGGTGACCTGGCAGTATCCCAGCTCTCGTGCCTCCTTCGTGTGGCATGGCAGTTAGGCAACAAAGAGTGCTACAGCTGAACGATTTTAGATCATGTGCGTCGAACAATAGCACTCAACTTAAGGTAAAAAATATACCCGAGGAAATCCTGAAAGAAGCGTATGTCAGTGCCTAAACAGATGCCATTTTCTCCTTAGTGATTCGCGACGAACGTCCAGGAACTGTAAACGTATGGAACCGTTCAATTTATCAACCTGTCTGCACGAGCCCAAGTGAATTTTCAGAATACCTGCGAGGAACATCTGCTGCGTCGCAACAATAAAATTATGTTCCTTTTGTATCCGTAGTTTAGCTGAAATCCTGCGTCTTGCGGAGCGATCTGACTGATTGACACGTGTAGTTATAGTAACATAATGAAAGTTAGAGAAACGACACCAAAGCTTTGTTGTGCTCAGTGTAATGTCATGATTATTTGGCGACCACATGTTTGACCGCCCGTTTTATTCCTTCTGGCTCACGCCCTTCTGGCACACCCTTGGTGTGCAAGCATTTAACCACACTTGAAAGATGAATGCATATCTGATGCCAACATACTTACCGCCTTGAATTTCACCCGGCTTTGCTACTCACAATGAGAAACACTATTCTGAATCACCCCTACACTTTTAGAAAGAAATTACAACTAAACGCTGCTACTCATCATCTTAATTTCACCGGATGCACAACACTCCCTGTCTTCCTGACATAAAATGCTACTGCTGGGAACTCTTCGACAGTCCCCTACCAGTTTAGCCCTTCTTGACGTTCATCAGGTGGGCGTAGAAATGACCTCGTGACAAAATGCATTGTATTCCTTCATACCCAGGTCCAATCTCCAACTAGCATCAGCAGATCAAAGTGATAAGTACAGAATTTTTAAATTCAAAACACGGTCTGGTGAAACAAGATGATCTTATCCGAAATTTCTGTTGCTATGATCATCGTTTTACAGGGATTTCGACAATTAGTGGAATACGAGTCAAATGCAGTGTCATCTGGGTCTTCTGAGTAGTGTGTTCCTGTGATCAGTTGGCGATCAGATGCGACCAACGTGATCAAACTTAGAATACTTGTAAGTAGTCGTTTCTAATTCCTTTTGCTTTTTCAAGGGCAATTCAATGTAATACGTACTAAATGAACGAAGGTAAGTTTTGTTGCCCTGTTACTAAGTGTACGCACAAGTTGGAAGCTTCCCAGTTGCCCTCAAGCATGACACTAGTGGATACGAGGTTAAACAAAAAGCAAAATCGATCTCGCCTTAGCATCAAAGCATTGGAGCGCGGTCAGTTTTTTTATGTGCAAATTCTAGACAGCCTAACAGGTGCAAGTAAGAACTGAATCCAACCGTTTTATTCACTCTCACTGGAGATGCAAATTCAATATGGTACCTGAAAGTAAGTTCTTGTTACTGTACCCGTTGTTACTTCTGATGAACTGAGGAATTTGCTGGCCGGTGTCGGTTCATTCTAGGTTAAATAGCTAAAACACTAATGGCTTTCGCCCCAAGAATATCTTCCGAAGACCCCGCTTTAGAACAACCAACGGTTGAGAGCACTAGGTCATTAAAATCAGGAAAGTGAAAACATACTTACGAAACTCACACCTTTGTTAGCTATCCAAACCCTTTCACACATCTGTGTCCTAGACAGTATCCTATTACTATTACTTCATTCATACAGGCAGCGTGATCCCGATTGATTTCTGAGCTAGACGCATGAGCGCAAAGATTTAGAGGGCAGGTCACGTGTGTTCGGGTTGGAGAGGTGGTTATCTTACATCGATAGAAGCTCAGGGCGATCGATGGCACGGCCTTGTGATCAAACTGCTGGCAGAGAACAGCAGTGTAACGTGAACAAAGTAACACACTGATATTTCAAAATAAATTACGATTGAACATTCATAATAGGTTCCAAAACGGGTCAGAAATCATTCACTCAATACAGATTATCAAATTCAGGATGTGTTGACAATAAGTTATTTTCCTGCTCCCGACGATTGATTAAAACTGTGTAAAGTGACAGCTCACGAGATGCTTAGTAAGCGTCCGTTTTGGATGTTTTTTTGTAACGAGGTTCCTAGAAGTTCCACCCTTAAAGGTTTGTTCCAAGGTGCTTCATTTTATGGTCGATTCGCCTGTGTTCACATAGAATCGAACTGACGGAGAATACTCTTATGTATTCCTGTTTCGTGTGTTAGTTGCTTTGACGGATGTCAGGTGCGCGGTAACTGGGTGGACGTTCCGCTCGATCTACTTTTAGTTGGGAGTGAAGAATGGTCATCTTGGAATGCTAGGCAATGCTGAGGAGGTTTTTGTGGGATGACTACAATCAAGTCCCTCACGTCGTTTGGTTCAAATACACCAAAAAAATCTCAGCTTATGCAGACTTTTGTGCCATATTTTCTTTCACTTTATAATCTCTCAAAGCAGGGTTTTCATCAAGGTTTACTTTGGCCAGATATGTTCAAATTACGTGTAACACCCGGTGCACTTCCATAAAGGCCTCTGGTCCAACATATGAAATGTGATTAAGTACAACATAACACATTACTTTTTACGAATTTTTACGAATGGGATTAGAAACAAGTTTACTTAATTGTTGTTTTACAACATAAGGTCAAGAATGGTGTTGATGCTCGAACAGTAGCACCAGGAAGTCTTCGTTCGGGAGACTTGGAACACCGGGTACTTTTGATCCATTTCATCAAGACAGAAGGACAATATATAGGTATGCTACTCTTGTCAGTCACCGGTGCGATTCCCTTTCCTTCGAGCTACTGTTACACACGAGTAGAGTGATACAGTGTTTATATTTTTCATTCTTCTTTACCAGTCGATATTCGATAGCTGACCTCCGTCCTCTGAAGAACCGCGTCGTATTATGGCCGTCTATGGTCGAGCAGGCTGACCCACATTTCATCGTTCAAGTGTAGAAATTTTTGTCAAAACGGTTAGCCTTTGGTAGCTTGAGATAAGAACTGTTAAGCAAACCGGCGCCTCTCTGTGATAGGCAGCTCTAACGGAGCAATAACACACTGGGACTCTCAGAACCAGTGGTGGGTTGGGTAACAGAATATCGTGCTCTGTTGTAAGGGGTGGACTATAAGACCTGCCTTGGCTGGCCAAGCTTATTTCAGTTAGAGAGAAATAACACATTTCACTGATATCAGACCTGGTGTTCATGTCTGACGAGCTTCCTGCTTTGGAAGTCTTGGCATTCTTCCGGCTTTTCTTGTTACAAGTACCAAACTTTTTTATTATTAGAGAGTTATTCGGCAGTAGGTGATTGCACCGTGAAAAACGTTTGTCTCGGCAACTAGTTTTATGCGAACGTTAGCTAAACCCAAAAATACTCTAGTTTATCTAGGAAAAATGGCTCAGTGGTTAGAGCGCGAATTTACTGAACGGAAGGTAAGTGGTTCAAACCCGACTTCTGCATCTCGACTTCCCCTGTCTAGGTTTGGGCAACCTGGCATTATACCAGCCCTCATGCTTTCTTCGGGTACAATGACAGCTAGGAGCTGAAAGAGTGCTACAGCTCAACGAGGAACGTAAGCAATGCAAATACATGTGAAAGGCAGAAAGCCTTCGCTGTGGAGTTGTCTATTAGAGAAACACCGACTGAACAGTTACAGAATGTTGGACAGGGGAGCAAAGCTCTCATATGCGTCTTGTTTACGAAACTGGATATCCACCTTCTCCTTGAACGCGACTTCCTGAACTGCCCTGGATATTCACTGACCGCTACTCAAGTGCAAGCAGATGCTACAAAGCGACTCTACAAAATCAGTAATAAATCTCATTTTTCAAGAGACGCCAAGCGGATGTATGAGAAAACACTACTCGCACGCCTCATCAATAGTATCCACCGTTACACATGTCGTATCTGTGACGGCACTCCAGATCTTGCTGTAAGTGTTGTGATTTTCATCAAGTGAACGAAGAAAAGAAGGTAGCGAACAAAGCTTGTTTTCTGTGATTGTTCCTCTTGGCTAATATATCACAAATTTATATGGTAGCAGAGATCACATGGAAGAGGTTAAGATCGGGGCAACATACACTTTAGATAAATAGGAATCAAAGAAAAGGGGGTTGGATGAGGGATAGGTCAATGGGTCACGGAATCATCAAGTTTATTATCGGTACCTGACCGCACCTTGGTAATTGAATATCATGCCAACCGGAAGATAAGGTAGCTTTTGTGTAGAGTATTCAGTTGCGGAGTATCATGAAACAATAATTCAGCTGAAATTCAGCTGCACATGTCGTGTACACCAAGTTGGCTTGTAAATGGACTTTTTCACAGCATAAGTTCAATTTGGTGTTCATATAGTAAAAACGGTTGGAAAAGCTTCGGAGATTCGGTCTCATTGGTGAGCTCCAAGAGAAGTGAAACTGGTTATGAGCTGTTCAGAGTTTCCACCGGCCCAATCAGTTCTATTGAAAATTTCGTAGTTGGTTATTAAGAACACAGTAAAGCTTGGTCTTACTTTAGAAGTTGTTGCGAGGCGCGAACATTATTGCCTTTGTCGATTAAGCGGAGGACATTGTTCCAATGTCGCCACAATAATAAAATCATAGCCACACCACTCTCGTTTGAACGGCCGTGTTCCTGTTCTGGCGCAATTATTCCGGTGAGTCCACACCAAGGAGAAGCACTGGACTCGAGTTTCGCTCTTATTAGAGCTCGTCAGCAGCGCATATCCAATGGCTGTGCGGGATTTGAACCCCGGATATCTGACATGCTATCCACCAACGTACGTTGGACGTGATAATTCATATGCGTCCAATGTGCGTTGGTGGAGTAGTGGTTACACGCTCGCCTCGCATGTCAGATATCCGGGGTTCAAATCCCGGCACGGCCATTGGATATGCACTGCCGACGAGCTCTAATAAGAGCGAAACTCGAGTCCAGTGCTTCTCCTTGGTGTGGACTCATCGGGATAATTACGCCAGAACAGGAACACGGTCGTTCGAACGAGAGTAGTGTGGCTATGAATAAACATGCCTATCC